GTAGTACAAGGAGGGAGTCCTATAAAAAGACCCCAGGGTGATGGAAGGGAAGGGTGGTGGAGAAGGGGATCTTTTTCTTGTCTAGTCTGGGCCCTATCGATCTAGACTTTCTGCTGCTGGCGACGAACGACGATCTTGGGGGATGGAAGGGGATGGTGGGATGGTGGGATGATGGGATGATGGGATGATACTTGTACGAAGGTACCACTGTACAGCACAGTACTGTACGGAAGTAATGAGATGCTGGGGGTGAAATACGGTAGGACCAGCGGAGAGAACCTCCGTAGACCGGGATGTGACAACGCCCAAGTAACATGCAGGACCCTGAAGTCTAAGTGCCCACAAGGAAGGGATCGACTGTGCAGAGCAGCGTTCCTGGTTTGGAGGAGGAATAGGGGTCCAAGCTCTGGCCCAACTCATGAATTTCACGATGAGGTACTCATCCTTCTAGAAAGGAAGTATCTCATCGCCACCTTCTTCTACAGTAACGATGCTTTATTCCCAACATTTTATTCCCAACATTTTATCTCTCCCCTCTCTCCACCTCTTCACCCATTCCCCTATTTCCCCCCCCCCCTCGTACACATTGAATACAGTATTTACCTGGAATTACTTGTACAAGCATAAAGCTCGCAAAACCCGACCTGGTATTCGTACTTCTATATTCATGATGTCACCTTTCTCTCCCAGATCGAGGTTTTTGGTGTCCCATCTCATCTAATCCTTCCCGTCCCGCTTAGTCGGCACACACGGCGCTAGAAGCTTGGGCTCGGGACTCCAAAGTTGGAATTCCCTACAGTAATCCAGATGTAGTCATTGGCAGAGAGATACGAGGGACGTCTCTCGAGTTGAAGAACTTTATATATACCGAGTAAAGTAAAGTGTTAACTGTCACTAAAGAATTCGAATTTTAAAGATAATCATGTCGTAATAGTTGGCAGTGCAGTGAAAGTGACTACCGAGTACTCGCTTGGGTAGGATAGGCCTCTCCGGCTTGCTAGTAAGACATCCCCGGACCCTTAGGTATGCTACAGTAAGTACCCTTCCGTATACTATCTATAGGAAAAGCTTAATCAAATCTTATCGGGGAGGTCTCATCTACCTTACGGTACTCATCTAGGATCAGCTACAGTACTGTACTGTATGTGAGATAACTATAAAGCACCTACAGTAGATCTAATCTTTCTATAGCACGGTCAGAGTTACACCGCGTCCTCTATCAACAATCACAGCTAATAATTCTTCGCATTCTTATTCTCTTAAGCGCGGATGCCATTCGTTCTAAAGATTCACAAAAGAAAAACCTTGCTTTCCCCGCTCTGCATTTAGACGGTGAACTTAAGACCTGCGCTGCGCGAAATCTGATTATCATTTGACTGTCTAATGCAGTAAAAAGCCCTTCCTGTCTAACCCCTTCCAAATACGCAATGAGAACCCGAGCTTAATTAATTAACAAAAAACCCATCCTCCTTACTCCCCTCTCCCTCACTCTTCTTCTCCTTCCCAAACACCGTGCCCTCAAACCTAGGAATATCAAAAGTGCTATCGGGATCCTTCCCCGTCGCCATGACATACTCCCGCACCTTAATAATCTGGTGTCTAATCTCCCCTAGCATAGAACTCATCTCCAGCTTGATATCCTCATTGTGTTTCGCTGCGCCCTTAATAGCCGCCTCCATGACATTATACCTGCTCACGTCGTTACGCAGCATCATATCAAACGGCGTCGTCGTGCTACCTTCCTCCTTATAACAAGCAATACTCATCCTGTCCATATTCTCCCGTCCAAACAGCAACCCCTTGATCTCGTTGCTATAGCCGTGATAGTTGAAGTGAACAGGCCTATCAGCTGTAAACATCGCACTGAATTCCTGATTGGATAAACTGTGCGGGTGTCCACTCTCGGCCTCGAGAATCATCAAATCAGTCACATTCACCACCCGAACCCTCAACCCGGGAGCCTTCCTTCTCAAAATCGCCGCCGCCACCACAACCTCAAACATAAGCTCCGAGCCAATACCCACGAGCACGACATCAGGCCGAAGACCGGAATCTGTCGAGCAGAATTTCCAGATGGAGGCCCCGGCCCGACAGTGTGCGTCTGCTTCCTCGACGGACAGGAAGGCGGGTTGGGGTTGCTTGGAGCCGACCATTAGGTTGACGTAGTTTTTGGAGCGCAGGCAGTGCGAGATGGTCGAGAGGAAGGTATTTGCGTCAGGCGGGAGGTATACTCTCGCGGCATCTGGCTTAAGATTCAGCACCGCGCCGATGAAGCTTGGGTTCTGGTGCGAGAAGCCATTGTGTTCTTGGCGAGTCCAGGTGCTGGTCTCGATGTAGTTTATGGAGGAGATGTCGGTGCGCCAGGTTGTCTCGCGCGCCATTTTATTGAATTTACTGTATTGTACCATCATGGTGTGGACTATTCCTAGGAAAGACTCGTAACTGGGGAAAATTCCAGTTCGACCTGTAAGAGTGTAGCCTTGGAGGAAACCTTGGCAAGTATGCTCGGACAGGATCTCGATCACTCTGCCACCGCGAGCATTGCTGAATTCATCCCATTGAAAGTCGCGGCCCGTGTGGTTGAAGATTGCATCGAGCTTGTTACTCACCAACTCGTCGGGCGAGAAGAGGCGGAGGGATTTCGGGTTGTTGATCAAAGCTTGGTCAATTAGGTCGCCAATGGCTTTCATGCAGGATTGTTCGGTGCCCTTTTCAACTCCGAATTTCTTCCAGTCGGGGACATTAAGGGGTTCGTAGCACTTGTAGGTTTCAGCCCGTTGGCCGAGCCTCTTGTGGTCTTCTACTGGGATAATGCTTTTGATTGAGTCAATGGGCGCTCCTGCTTCTGTGAAGAGCTTTGCTGGGCCGTAGCTTAAGAGCCACTTTTGCAGGTCTGCAAGTTGCTCCTTGTCGGATTTGACTGCCATGAGAGGAACTTGGTGAGCGTGGAAAGACCCTTCGACGAATTCGCCGTCTACTATTTTTGGTCCGCTCCACCCTTTGGGAGTTCTCATGATAAGGACCGGCCACTATGATTTCTGTCAGTCTTCGCTTAAGAAAAGGGGTAGAAATTCCTTACTCTTGGCTTCATAATGGGCTTGCCAGACCGAGCTGCTTTTTGGATCTTCCTGATTTCATCAAGAGCCCATTGCATGCTGGTAGCGAGATCACGGTCCTACATAATTAGTGACAACTTCCTTGCGGTGAATTGTGAACTTACGATATCCTCAAGATCCTCAACAAATCTGCATTGATAACCATAACCAGTAAACAACGTGACCATTTCCTTATCATCCATGCATCCATAGATGGTACGTTCAGAGATCTTAAAACCATTTACATGAACGATAGGAATAACGGCACCAGATTCAGCAGGGTCAATATACTTCGCCGCATGCCAAGCTGTAGCAGTAGGACCACTTTCTGCCTCACCGTCACCAACAATGCACGCCACAACCAAGTCTGGTTTATCCATCACAGCACCGAATGCAACAGAGAGAGCATAACCCAGCTCGCCACCTTCGTGGATGGCTCCGGGGGTCTCGGCATTGATGTGACTGGGGAAGCCGTGGGGTGTGCTGAAACCTGTGATTAGGTTGTGGAGACCTTGTTTGGTGTTTGAGTATTGGGGGTAAAATCGTGCCAAACTGCCTTCGAGCCAGAGAGAGGCGAGGATTGCCGGGGCTCCATGGCCAGGACCAACGACGTAAATTAGATCGAGGTCGTTCTTGCGGGTGAGATAGTTGAGGTGAGCGTAGACAAGGGTGAGACCTGGGCAGGTTCCCCAATGTCCTAGCAATCTATAGCTCGTGTTAGATCTGGCTGCAGAAATATCTGGCAGTTTGAGCTTACCTGGGCTTGATGTCGTCGTGAGTGAGGTCTCTTTCAAGAAAGGCGTTGTCACTTAAGAAAATCATAGCTAGATGAATCAGTAATTGACCTTGAACAGAACTCTTCGAACTTACCAGCCGCAATATAATTGCTCGCTCTACGGAACTCTTCCAATCCCCGGATATCTTCATCGGAGAGCCTCATCTTCTGCAGCTTGACGGACAAGCTGAGCACCTCATCTGGAATATGTGAAGCGATAGCTTGTGGGTTGGGTCTGTCGATTACTTCTCCAGGCATGTTTGCGGTTGTCCGAGGTCGAATGTCTTGAGTAATGTTAGGGAGGGGGAAGAAGATCTATTCTTCTTCCACAGACATGAAAATAGATTAGGTGGATTATAGTGTGTAGGTAGGTAGGTATGAGAGAGGTGAAGCACTTTTATATTGCTTTCCTTTGAGCTTGCTGTGGACCTGGTAGCACAACGTCAGAGCTGGGAGCGCACAATTGTTTTTGCGTGAATACCCACACATCGAGTCGGTGGTTGATATACAAGTAGGGATCCAGACATGTGTGGGGAATATGAACAACGTCATCCCTTAATACTCTCAAGGCTGACCATCAGCCTTGCTGACAATTTTAGTCTCATCTTCAGCCTTCTCTGCTTGACCAGGGTTTCTTGAAGTGGAGTGGCACTGGTGGCATGTCCGTCCATAAATTATCTTCACATGGAATACTCGTGGTGTGAGATGACATCCCTGTAATTATCCCTGCAACCACCTGGAGTGATCCCTCAATAGGACTAGCTTATCGCTTATGATAACGGTAGCTCGAGCTCGAGAATGTCAATGTCACGTCATGCCCCTCACTTCTAGAAATCAGGAGATGGAGGGGTAAACATCGTGGGTTCAGGTACAATAGGACAATTTAATACCCCCTTCCCATTTTCTCTTCTTCCTCTGCTCTCGTCGCAATCAATCATAATATCTTCATTCCGAAATATCTCAAAATGTCCAAAATAATACTCTCCATCAACGCAGGCTCCTCCTCTGTCAAAATATCCGTCTACTCAGCCACCCAGGGCGAACCCCCCAAAGAACTCGCAGAGACGCAGATCGACGGTCTAACCTCCCCTCCCGCGCAATTGAAATACAGGCGCAACGGCCAAATCATCTACAAAGACAAGAGCATTGACGATGCCAAAATCCATTCCCAAAACGACGCCTTCACATACATGCTCGACGAGCTCATCAACGACAAGGACTTTGACGCTATCACAAAAAAAGAAGATATAAGCATCGCCTGCCACCGCGTTGTCCACGGCGGCGATTACGACTCTCCCAAGATTATCAACAAGGATACCTACCACCACCTCGAACTCCTGACCGACCTGGCACCACTACACAATGCTTCGGCACTGGAAATCATCTCCTTCTGCATCCACGACATGCCCGCCACGCGCAACGTCGCCGTCTTCGACAGCCAGTTCCACCAGACTTTGCCCGAACACATCCGCACGTATCCGATAGACTTGGAGACTGCGCGGAAGAATGGCCTGCGGAAATACGGCTTCCATGGTATCAGTTATAGCTTTGTGACGCGTAGCGTGGCCGAGTTCCTAGGCAAGGAGGTGAAGGATACGAGTTTGATTGTGTTGCATCTTGGGAGTGGCGCAAGCGCGTGTGCCGTCAAGGGAGGCAAGAGTTGGGATACGAGTATGGGGCTCACGCCTTTGGCTGGTTTACCTGGTGCGACGAGGAGTGGGAGTGTTGATCCTAGGTAAGTCTCCTCTCAAACTCATGAATAGGAGAATTGTGTAAGTGCAAGACTGATGATGTTTGATAGTTTGGTCTTTCACTACGCCTCAGATGTAGGGAAACTATCCCCCTCTTCTACACAATCACTTCACATCTCCCGCGCCGAAGAAATCCTCAACAAAGAATCCGGCTGGAAATCACTCACCGGCACCACGAATTTCGGCATCATCGCCTCGTCCCCCAAGCCCGAGATGAAACTCGCTTTCGACATTATGGTTGACCGAATCTGCCACTACATAGGCAGTTATTACGTATCTTTACATGGTAAAGTCGATGCGCTCGTATTTGCAGGCGGGATTGGTGAGAGGAGCGATTTGTTGAGGAAAAGGGTTGTGGAAGACTGTGCTTGTTTGGGGTTTGCTGTTGATGGGGAGCTGAATGGGAGGAAGATTGAGGGGGTAGTGCAGGATATTGGGGCGCAGGGGGCCAGTCATAGGACGTTGGTTTGTCAGACTGATGAGCAGTTTGAGATGGCGAGGTATTGTGCTGTTGATGCGGAGCTTTTTAACTAAGATGAGAGATGATATAGAATAAGCGATATGTTTAGATTAAGCGGATAGATATTGCTTGAAATGAATTATAATACAAGACATAATTTTCGCAATATTGGTCGACGACCTAGTAATTAACAGGCAGAAACCTCAAAACGAAACTGCGCCAGAATCTCCAAAGACTTCCCAGTAGTAACCCAGTTCCAGCAGCTAGGAGCTGTGCAAGAAACAGCTTTTTCATACCTAGGAGATAAGGGAGAAAGAATGCCCTATGCGATTTGAGAAATCTAGATAATAATTGATATTGAAAAGCAGAGCAAAAAATAGCGCGACGAATCGAAATGACACAGTCAGAACGATAACAGACTCCAAGTAAATGTCATTTGTATTGGTGGATTGGAAAACAGCCAAGCCACTATGTCGATTCCTCAAAGCACTCTTACAAATCCGTGAAATTGCCATGGCATCGCATCCCGCTCTACGAACTAAAGAGGCCCCCGAATTAAAAATCAATCATTGATACGTAAATAAATCATGGTTGATGTTTGCCATATGGCCTAGCCATAATATACTCCTATGCTCCACCGTAGCCATACTCCCCATCCGAAATCGACCTATCGTCACACGCCGTCACACGCTTACAACTGGCAGCATTCATGGCAAACTGTAGCCCGAATTCACGGCATCTGCAAGCTGAGAACTATATATTTTTCATGTCAGTAATGCTTAATCAAGAATAATGGAATATTTGGAGTTCATGATTTTCTTCTGGCTCCTCAAGACTCCCTGAGGCAATAAACTCATTTGTCGGAGAACAATACTGAATGTTTCGATAGTACTTACGTGTTTGGACGGTTCTGCGCATATCGCTCATAGCTCTCAATGTAAAGGTCATCTAAACTCGTCGTATTCTTGACGTGCTCATCATTTTCAACAGCATCCATCCAACGTCCCCACCTACTTCCAGGAGTTGGGTCAGGCCAGCCTCGGTAATGCTTCATGACCCTGGATAGCCGAATCATCCATGGCGCAAACTGAATATCAACAAAAGACAGATGCGGACCAAGGAAGTAAGGGCCGTGCTGATCACAGACTTCGACGATCTCCTGGATCTTGTCTTGCAGCTTCTTAGTGTGCTCAGCTTGCTTTTGGAATTCTTGGGCCTGGAGCAGTTGGTAGAAGGCTGGGACAATTTGTCGATTGATCTACTCTGCATTAGCATGACCTATAAAAAAAGCACGAGGATACTCACATGATCAGTCCAAAGTCGGCAAGTTGCCCGGAGCTGTGGATTACCTTGTGGAAGAAGTGGTTGGCCTGCACCGAGATCTTCCAACTATTGCTTATTAGTGGATATCCAAAGTTGTAAAGTTGAGGACATACATATTCCATCAAGACTGTGCTCTCTCCGCAACCCCAATCACCATGGCGAATTCCGGGAACTAAACCTCGAGGATTGACATCCAACAGAGCTTGGGGCTTTTTGTATGGGTCAACTTCAACGTATTGGTACTGCAGTCCTTTCGCCTCCAAGGCGACCCAGACGCGTTGAACGAAAGGACTAAAGTAGGAGTTGTCAGTTGTGTGTGATGGCTAAGTCTGACGTCACGATACGAATGTCTCCCAAAGAAGCTTTGACTTACCAAAAACAGCTACCAAACAGTTTCAGTTCATGGTCTTTAGAACGTTTCCTAACCGTCACCAGGGCATTGCCACTTGCTTTCTTATGATAAGTTTTCTGTTGTGCCTGATTGTCAGCCATATTTACGAATGGGCTGCACGTCAATTATCAATGCCAACGCAGGTAGGTAGCTTTTATAGACGACCCAGGCCTGGAGACTAAGGTACTCAGGTTTTCCAAACTTTACATACCCCAGTCTCGCATGAGAAATGACATCAGAAGTTTAAAATGTCCGTGACTTACTTGGGTTTTCTTGTCTTCTTTATCCTGCTTTAAGACGTGTCTTTGTACACTATTCTTTTTGACACGGTCACTCTCACTCAAGGCATGCTTATGTGGACCTGGAATACCATCGCCTTTGCCATTACCACCATTCCCATTAACACGCTGTATTGTGTAGTACCGTTGACCTGCAGCGCCGGGATGATTTGGAGGGATAACTGAATTGACCATCGACATTCCAAATTGCTGCTGTTGCTGCATTGGCTGTGCACCTGGCTGTCCGGGCGCAAAAAAGTTGTTTCCCTGAGAAGGATCGGGCAGTTGGACAGGTCCCCCATCTGGCTCGAAACCCGAACGTAGCATAGCACCTGGGAAGTATTCCGTGATCTTTATTTTGACATCGCAGAGATCGCGCTCTCGCGCGGTACGCTTACGCTTCTTTTTATTGGGATCATCTGATTTTGGCGTTCCCGGAGGTCGCCCTTTCAACCGGCAGTCCCAGTAATGAGAAACAAAAGGCTTCCGCTTATATCGCTGAGTCGAACGATGTGAATATACATTATCAACGTGAGGGAAGTAGGTTTCAAATCTATGGATATCAGCCATGTCAGTAGATGTAGAAGTTTCAGTGCAGAGTTACATACTCTTCTTCGCTCAAAGTGATCATCTCATCGACGTTGAACAGCTTCTGGCGCCACTCCGCAAGATTGGGAGGGTCAACAACGATCTTGGTACTCAGATGGCCATTGCTCTTCTGATCCGCACCATCTGGAGAACCAAAGAGATCCTCCTCTTGTTGTAGCCGGCCAATCGAGTTGTGCTGGATGGGGTTTGTAGTCAAGATGCCAAACTGGCCGCCATTGCTGTGCTGCTGCTGCGGGGTATGAGGGCTCCCGTTGTTCTGAATAGGCATAGGCCGATGACCACCAATATTGCTGCGTTCGAAGGGATTCGGGGTTTGGAAAGCATGGCCGTTCGGGTCTTGCAGACGGAGGTCCTGGTGGAACACAGGGTCGTTATCGTCGAGACCAGTCAGGTCAAGGCCGGGTTGGGAGCCCATGCCATGATGCGCGAGGTGTGGCTGGCCATGGTTATGACCGTGACCATGACCGTGGCCGTGCTGTATCGCCTGAGCGGCTTGGGGTTGTAGGGTTCTGTATGCAGAGGGTAGCTGCTGGTGAAGGACGGATTCGGGCTCCATCGTGAGATCTGGGCGCCGCGGAACATTCGCAATGGAAACCCCGTCTGTGATGCCGCTTTTATGATGAAGTTGTCGCGTCGAAGAAGAACTGTCGCTTCTGGCCCAATCTGGTCTAGTCGGCTAAGGTCCGGGTGCGGGCAGGAACCCGTAAGGCTGGGCTGGCTGGGTGGCTTGGCTGAGCATGTGATGCTCTCTCCTTTTTGTCTCCTTTCTCTCTCTCTTTCTCTCCTTTTTATATCTAGTGTTCAACCTGGAATAAAGGTCTAGAAATTCCAAGTCGCAGGATAAATATGTCTTCTGTATGTAGAGTTCTCATCTCGAGCAACTCGCTGCTTTCAGAAGCCTTGAAAGATACGTCACATATTCATATTCACATCACGCCTTCTCTAACTTGTCTCTTGGATATGCTGAATTAATGGATATATACTACTGCCAATGACTACTCCTTATAATCAAACAAAGTCATACTTATTATATCAAGCCTCTCCACGTGAAGCCCCACGTGAAGCACCTCGCGAAGCAATCGAAGCCCGTCCATGCGACGACCCAGGTAAGCGATCACGCTTCCTCAAAGTTTGGTCTGCAGCACCTGCATACGCCAGCATAGGGATTGTCATCCCATAAGGCTGTGTCTTGCCCTCTGGATCATGCTGATCCATCTCAACTCTGATACAGACATCAAGACTGCCATCATTATCTCTGCCATGTCTTTCACTATTCGCTGCTCTGTGTGTAGTTCCCGCATCTACCTCGCCCTTGTGTAGCCACGAATGTCCATCTTTAGCTTTTGGTATCGTCTCAACAGATGGGTTTGCGGTTTCAGCGCCCTCGTTTGCGTATCCATTTGTCGTATGTCCATTTGGGATCTGAGTGCCGTGGTGGTTTTCCGTGAGCATGGCCCAATTTCGACTTGGCATTGTCACTTTGTTCGAGTTCGAAGTCTTGGTTACGGTGCCGGGGTCCTTATCGAAGAATCTCATCAAGGTCTCATCTGTGTTGAGATCCAAATGGTGTAGCTTGTTTCTCTTGGCGAGGAGGTTGGCAACAGCTTGTGGAGGAGGTTTATTAACTATGGCAGATGATATGATGTTAACCATATAGCGATGATCCTGGTCGATTGGGACATTGAGTTGTGGATTCGAGTAAAAGCGACCAACAGCAGCCAAGTGTACATCGCCACCAAGAATGGTGACTCGCACGGAAAATTCAGAAGCCAGCTCTTGCAGTTTATGTACCAGCATCAGTCGCTCCTTCTTGTGCGTACGTGCTGTGTAATGATCATCAAGATCGTCTAAAAGATCAACGCTGCCGTCAAAATGATTAAAGAAGCCCCCGCCTACACATATCAGCATTTGCAACAAGGTAGCATTGAAAGAACGAACCGAATCCAAATCTCTTATTCAGGAACTTAATTGGTGCAATCACCGGACTGGAGAAGATGTTTTCCAGCCAAGTTAAACGCTATATATATTAGTAAAAGCAAGGTTGATTCTAAGATATGTACCTACAGGATAAGCAATTGGAATCCCTAGAAGAACAACTAGGTGCTGGATGGGAGAGGACGAAGCCTTTGCCGCAGCAAGTTCGTCCCGAAGTCTCTTGGCAATAATCTCATATGTTTCCGGGTAGTTAACTTGGTGCCGCGTTCGCTGATATTGTTAGTGAGAGTTTTTATTACTACACGGGACCTTTTACCTCTGTTCGAGCATCGAGACCGAAAAACGCAATCCGTGCGCCGAGCCTAGCGTAAATACTGCGTGAATGCTCTGTCACATATGGCTAGACAATGTTAGAAGCTTTGATCGACATACCAGGTGAAATACTTACGCCAGGTCTATGACCAATGATGTAGCTGGAATCGATAGCTTCATTCAGCACAAATGTATTCTCGAGTTGTTGTGGGTTGGGACGGGCGTCATCTGCCGTGGTTGTTTGGGGAGCATCTTCTGAAGGTTCAGGACTGTGAGTTGGTATATCGCTCGACAGCCTACCTGTAATGAAACTCGAGGCCGGTGGTGCAAGGTGATGCTGAAATAGAAGATAGTATTTGTTTGCCACGCCGCCAATGCCTTTGAAAACTGCACATCTCATAAATTCATCGATATATGAGCCAAATCCATCAATAATCTAAATGCATCAAGTTAGCTAGAGCATTTATCGACATAGAAAGATACGAACATCGTGATCGTCCCATATATTGAGTTGAGCTATTTGCCCATTGGCGCTAGCGAAAGGTTCCGTCCCATACCTAGCTCAAAGTCAGCCAGTTTCTACTACGATGCTGGGTTTATGGTATAGACTCACCAGCGAATATAGTTGTTCACATAATAGTCATCACAATCCCTTCTCAAGGATTCCGGGAACGGGAACTCTCTTCTTTTCTTAGGATTAGCAATGTCTGTCCAAGCTCTCAGTGGCCCATTAACACGTATTCCATCATCTAAGATTATGTTAGCATTACATCTTCAAGAAACCCATAGCTACCAAGGATCTTGATTTTGGTGCCACTAGAGCCCTGCCTGGAAGTCGCTTCTCTGGAGATACCTACTATAGATCTGGTCTCCACCTCCTAGCCTACAATATTATTAGTCAAAAGGACTCGATAGTCAGAAATCCAAATAACTTACATGACATGGAAAGGGGTTTTCTCGTGGACTCGAATCACGTCGTTCCACTAGATCACGGGGTATTTAGTTATTTCCTCCTTAAGAGTGTTTTGAGAGCAGAGGAAGAGCAAGTTCCCGTTTTAGGAAGTGTGTAAGGAGTAGTTGGAGTACATGATAGAAGGGGGTAGAGTAAAATCAAAGAGCCAGTTATCCTTACCAGGCAAGGACCGCTCCATGCAGCCTCATCAGTTCCAACACTAAACCCATTACAAGAATGGAACATGATTCGCATGGATTCCGTAATTGCCGGTACGTAGAAGCGTTGCTTGGCTCCTCTTTTGGCATGTGTGAATTCTGCTCCAGAAATAGCATATTCGCATTGAATTTCGGCCTGCTGCATAGGAACCTCGAGGTTGAACCGCCAGAATGTATTGGCAGGGTCGGAGTATAGCCTGGTACCGGGAATCTTGACTTCCCAGGAGCCTTTCCCAATTTCTGTGGCAGCAGTATTTCCATTGGTACCATTGCTCGTGGTTTGTGTAGAAGATGTCGGGTCTTGGAAACTACCATAATCAATTCCATTAACAACCCCGTAATTCTCTTTTCCAGCTCCAGTTATACTGGCCCCTAAAGACTGTCCTGCGGTCGAAGAAGCCTCAGCAGGGTGCCCACTGCCATTAATTTTCAGTGTCAACTCAGGGGTTGTTAGGCTTTCACCAGATCCACCCCCTCTTGTTACAATCAAAACACTTCCAAACCAGGTTTCGTTCTCCATGCGCCTGTAATTGAGAAGCGGTCCGCACTTTACTTCCAAAGTGTTCTCACTACCAGCGGTATTGTCTCCACCGTGTGTCCCATCATGTTGCGTAGCCATACTCTTGCCCGTCGAAGTTCCATTATGTTCATTTCCAGCTACCATAATAGGTTGGTGTTTTCCAGTTCTTGAACCCGCAGATCCAGGAGGGTCAATTCTCGTTGAGTTGAAGAAGTTTGCGAGATCTTTACTGCCATGCCGCGAATCAGCCTCCCGCGGGCCCACTGCCGCTTTTCCAGCATGTCGATGAAAAGCGTCGGATTCTTGATGGCGCCAGCGAGTGTCTGAGGCATGATCGTCTGGGTGGTCGCGTCCGTGGAGGATGTTGTCTCGATAGTGCGAAGCCATTGAACTTGGGGTAACCGAGTTCGTTTCGATGGTCGATTGCGTGTACAACGTTTCGGGGTTTATTAAGAAAGGCAATTGACAGTTCCACTGATTGCTAGGAATGTCAGTTGGGATGGGCGATTCTGAGGCGCAAGAGAATATGTTGACAGTACGTATGTTTTGCGAAGCTCCTCCCAAAAGCAATGAGGGAACTACAAACAATCAAAAGTAGCTAGTTTGGCAGTAGAGCTCGGTTCGGAGCATTTATGAAAAAGTTACGAAATCGCGATGGGCTTCATATTAGTATTGGCAGGAGCAGCCAAACAAAACGATGATCTGTAGTCTTGTTGTCAGCCAAGGCTGACCAGTGACCAGGCTTGAATGGGACGATGCTGATGCTTGTCAAATACACCTCTAACAGGGATAAGGAGCTTCTAACCAGGATGTTTTGATTGGAAGTCCCTTGATCGCTCTTAGCTGCAGGCGAAATGTGGAGCAAAGTGGCTAAAGGAAGACTGTTTCAATCTGGGACCCGAGAGATGAAACCATTCAGCTTATTGCCTTTCTTTCTATCTTTCTCTCTCAACTTCCCAGCTCACAAGTGTTTGATCTTGCCCTGGTAGGAGCAGGGCGAATCGACCATCAAAACATCAAGAATGTCAAAAACAAGCAACTTGGGCAGACGCGTCCTAGTCGGATTTTCTTCCAAGGATAAAGCTATTTCATTGCCCAGACGATTCCACTAAATAATATTACTGTCTATTGCACCCCCATACCCCCTTTTTGCATTTCCTCCCACTGTCAACCATTCCAAATTTGTGACCGAGTTCGACCAAGAACTTTCCCTGTAAAGTGCTTCGTCTTCTGGCAATACAAGTCTCATAGCAACTATCCTTTCCTTCATCTCCCACAGTGTCAGCATTCCCCTAACGAAGCAAACTGCTGTTAAGTCACCGAAGGATATCCAGTCCAAGCATCACCTCCGAACTCCGGTCTCAATTCCAGCTTCAATTAATCCCCGTCTCCAACCAGCCGCTCCTCCAAGTATCTGCCTTTGATAGTTTATTTAGCACAGCCTCTACAGCTTTCCTTGTTGGATGGTCGGGTCTGAGTCTTGGCTTCTTGATGAATGCATTGTAGTCTTGTGTTTTACGAGCCCGCTCCGCGACTATGCTTTCTGTATCCGGGACAAGTATTTGGAGTCGTCCTGTAATGGGGACTTTGTTTCTGGCGGAGAGGGGGAGTAGAAATATAAATGATATGTAACGAATGTGGGCAGTGTGAGGCAGAATAAGGATAAATGGAATGCAGCCAAAGTTTTCGTTGAAATCATATTTCTTTTTGAACCTTCGAGTTATATGTACCTGATTCTACTATTCACACCAAAAGTCTCTCACATTCATTACACCCTGGGCAAGTACTTGGGGTGATTCACTCACGAGTGCTACTTGAAATGCAGAAATCGCAGAACATATCTACATCTCCGTGCTTACCCACATCTTTGAATATATACACATTAAACCACTTTGCTGCTACATCATGATAGAGGGGTTCAAGAGGATATTACAGTATCTTCTCGGCAGTGCCAGTGTCTTACAATCTGGACATCAGTGTCGTTCAGTTAGTGCGGGGCTTTTAAAGCAACTGCGACTCCTCGAGCACATGCCAGTCCTTTACCTGTACTCCAAGACTCTACCTCTCATGCTCTAAACCCTTGTGGTCAAATTACACTGCATGTAAATATTTACATTACCTAAGTCTGGACGTTCAAAGCCCCACGCTCAAAAGGTTGGGCATATTTACAGCTTTGATATTTGATAGTACAGAGAAGTGAGTCCATTACATACGCTACACCAAATATACTATCCTACACCTTCCCCTCTCTAATCCTATCCACAATCCCCATCTCCTTCCTCCTCTTCCTCTCCATCTCCCTCCTCCTTCTTAACCTATACATCAGCAACTGTGCACTCCCAATCCCAGCCGCATAACCCCCCAAATGTGCCGTATGATCCACCAATCCCAGCATCGCACTCTTGCTTAAAAGAGGGAACAGTTCCACCCCCACCAGAAAAACCAGCATGCCCAATGCGCTCAAAGATGGCCAATTATCCGGCGGAAAGATACCGAAGAGCTTGACTTTCTCTCCGGAATTGATAGATAAATAGCAAGCAATGATACCGCACACAGCCCCCGATGCGCCGAGACTAGAGGTCACAAAATTATTGCGTAAAACGAAGGACGCAAAGGAGACGTAACTGGATATGACACCGCTGGCCATATAGATAGCGAGGAAATTGGCGCGACCAATCTCGTCGTGCAGACGGGTGCCTACGAACCAAAGTACTCCCATGTTAAAAGCTAGATGCGAGAAAGCCATGTGCGAGAAGACATTGCCAAGCATGCTAGATGCGAAGGGATAGCCGGGAACGAGGATGAAGTGCATGTTTAGGAATCGGAACGCGGGGGGAAAGCGCCAGAGGGCGAAGACGCCGATATTCATGAGGATGATGCCGGCTACCGTTGCGGCTGAGGGGGGTACGTCTGGAAAGAGGCGTGCGGAGGGTGCGGGTGGTGTGTAGACTTGGGTGAAGACGTAGGCGCCTATCAATGTGCCTAGGACGACCAGTCCTGAGGGGAATAGTCGTTGGAAGATACTCATTTCTGGAGGAGTGTCAGGGAGGATGTGGGATCGTTCCATATAATATTTTAGCCTTGGGTTTTGCCCAGGTCTTTGAAGTTCGACGTTTGAAGCTGAACCTATTTGCAAGGTGCCGGTATTCTCTCGAATTTCATCCGCCTGGCTCTTCCGTTTCTCCTCCGATTCCTTCTCCATCTCATCCAAACGTTTCGCTTCATCTTCTCTGATTTTGTCAAAACTACTTTTCCCATATGGTGATTCCCCCTCGCCAATTTCCCGAGAATTGGGACGCCAAAGCCCAATTTTAATACTGTCCTGTACCGTCTCCAAGTTCAGTGCCTCCAATTCCTGCTCAGCTCTCAAACCAGCATTCATCACCTCGTCCACAGGTACATTTTTCCTTAGCCAGCTTAGCCCTCTCTTGATCAGTAAACCCTCGAACGGTGCTTTGAGTCGAGCTGAGTTTGGGTCCTCTAATGTTCCTGACACTCGCAGGCCATGTAATACTCTAAGAATTTGATTTGCCGTCTTGGCATCGACGCCCTTCCCGAATATCCCGAGAACTTCATTTTGTGATATGGGTTGTTCTCTAAATGTGAGGCCATCTTCGGATTCGTAATCTTCAGGCAAGTCTGTGAAGTCTCGGATTATCCGCTGCGATGCGAATGTTCTAGCCCCAATTCGAATTTGGGAAGTTGTGTTCGGTATTCGAAGTATTGGTCTTAATCCACCCGATACTGATGTTTGCCTGTCCCTCCAAGCACATCGATAACTAAATATCGAGTATGGCCGCGCATATTGTTGTGCTATCCTTGCGGCGAGACAATCGACTTTGGAGCAGGTCTGCAACAAGCGTCGTGTATCCAGACACGCTATCCGTGAAATTGAAGGCCCGAGGCTGTTCATTTCTCCTGGTCCGACAGCGACATGTTATTGTTGGTGCCGAACCTTGTCCGTAAAGTTATTAGAAAATTGTCGGCATTGAACGAAGTCTTGACATTCACTCATCATCAGAATCTCCGAAGCACAGACCAAGCGGACGATGTTCCGCTCAAACGCGTCCCACCTTGTTGCCTTTCGATTTTTCTACTTCGTATAAGTACAACCTAAAGTAAAAGACTCTCTAGATCCACA